TGCTCGCTGCTGGGTCGCGCCCGCGGTGCCAGGACGGTGGTGGGCTCTGCTCTCCGTGCACAGCCAGTGCCCCGCCCTGCCCCGCCAGTGACCCCACCCCGGCTTTAATCTTTCCCCCCCCCGGCAGCTCCTTGATTAGGGCATTGTTTGCTGCTTGCACGTCTGCTGGTCATCTGGCGTTAATCTCTGCTTATCTGGGTGATTGGATTGGCAAGTGTTCCTGGACATGTTTCTTGGAATTCTTGGAAGCCGGGTCTTCAGACAAGGCAGCAATTAGACACATAGAGATTAACAGCATCTACATACTATTCAAAAGAGACAAAAGATCAGAAGATCTCCTGACCAGCAATCAATCACCAGCAATCATCACCCAGATAAGGAAAGGTCACCACCAGGCACACAATCAAGCAGCAAACACGTGCCAATCCAGGAACTACCAGAGGAGCGAAACAAAAACCCCACTCCCACCAGCACGGGCAAGGCAGGCCACAGCACATAAATAGAGAGCAAACCCCATCCCATTTTAGCACTGAAGATGCGACCCAGCCGGGTAATGAAATGTTTGCAAGGAAAGAGCCAAGCTCAGAGAACCCCGAGGATGCCACGTTTTGATAAAGTTGCGTGGAGATCCATTTTGTTGGAAGATGTCTTATAGGTGGTCTGTTTCCTTCTTCTGCTGTTCTGGGTTGCTGCAGGGCGTTTGTGCTCGCCCGAATAATGTTCTGACACGGCTCCTCTTGTGGGAAGTTGGGTTGTTACTTTGGTAATGGAGGACTGGATTGGCGTGGTTGTCTTCTGATCAGCTTGAGTTTCTAGTTTGCTGTTGATGAGGATATCCAGGAAGGGTAGCCTGTTGTTGTCTTCTTCCTCTCTGGTGCATTTGATTCCTTCAAAGATGTTGTTGATGGTTTCATGGGTCTTCTCTAGTTGTCCCTTTTTTATTATCACAGAGGATCTACATACAGATCCATACTTTGGGTTGTATGTGAGGAAGTGCCATAGCTTCTAGGCTGTCTCTGCTACGAGTCCTGACACTGGTGATCCCATGGGTGTGCCTCTGATCTGTGGTAGATTTGTCCATCAGACTGAAAATAGGTGGTGAGACAGCGGTTGGTGAGGTCCACGATTCTGGGCACTTCGATCTGGGTGTATTTGGTTAGGTCGGGTGTGTGGTGCAGCACCGCTGATACGGATTCTTTTGCTAGTTCTGGGTTTATGGACGTAAAGAGTGCTGTGACATCAAATGAGACCATGATTTCATCTTCATCTAGGTGTACGCCTTTGATTTCCTGGAGGCACGGTCGTGAGGAGCTGATGGAACATTCGCTCTTCTCTGTGAGGTGTCCCAGCTTTTTCGTCAGTTCTTTCGCTCGGTTGTATGTTGGAGTCCCTGGTAAAGATACAACTGGTCAGAGAGGTATGTTGGCCTTGTGTGTTTTTGGTCGCCCATAGAAACGTGCAAGGATGGGTCCCCTGCTTTTCACCCGCCACTGTCCTTCCTTTGTGATCTGGCCTTTCTTGGTTAGGTCGTTGAGGGTTCTCTTGATTCGGTTGCCTGGTTTCTGTATTGGGTTGGTGTTAACTGGGATGTAGGTTTCTCTGTCCTCGAATACCTTTTGGCTTTGTGATTGAGCCATAATAACCGAGGTTCGGCCTTTGTGTGATGGGAGAATGAGGATGGTTTGGTCCTTCCTTAGGCTGTTGAGGGCTGCTCTGTCCTCTGCTTTGGGTTGGTGCTAATACTGTGTTCTTCTGGTCTGCGGTATGATTGTCTGCTTCGTGTTTTCTTGGGTCTCCGTGTTAAGTCTTGTGGTTTTAAATGCTGCACAGATTTCTAGCTGTTTGGCACTGTCCATGTTACAGTCGAGGCCTTTCTGGAGGATATTGTGCTCTGCAGTGGCCAGTGGCCGGCTGGACGTGTCGATCGCCCATTGTGGTCCAGGCACCTCTTTGTTTCTGGGGTTTAGTTTCAGCAGTTCAGTTTGAAGTTTTGTTTTTCTTTTCTCGGCTTCTCTTCGGGATGTGTTCTGGATGGTGGCTGGCAGTATATTTGTATGTTCTGGGGTCATCGTTTGTTCCAGTTGCTCCTTGAGGTGGTCTGTGATATGCCAGTAATTGTGAAGTCATTAGTCGTAACATTTTACGGCTGCTTTGTCACGCTATTTTAGTTCACCTGCAAAGGGCGAGCGAGAGTGGCGGGCGGGGATGATGGGCTCTGCGGGGCTGGGGGAGACTCGGCCCACCCTCCTCCTCTGCTGCAGCAGCAGAAGAAGCCCCCTTGTAGCCCCTTCCTCATATTAAGGATAGGCTGGGATCATACTAGCAATAAACCAGGATCCATCCTCCTTTAGGCTTCTAATGTCGTGTCTCCATTGCTGCTTGTGGGAAAACTGCAAACGTTCGTGAAAGTTTGTTTGTTTTAAATCATTATTTTGGAGCGGCTCCTTCCTAATATTAATGATAGGTTGTGTTCGTATTAGCAATAAACCAGGATCCATTCTCCTTTATCATGCCTGCTCCTTCTCACTGAGAGCACTCTCTGCAACTTGGTACCCATGTCTCCATTGATGCATTCCCGCTTGCAGGAAAACTGCAAACGTTTGTGCAAGTTTTGATTTAAAATAAATAAATAAATAAATAAATAAATAAATAAAAATCATCCTTTTGGAGACTCTTCTGCTGCTATGAGCTGCTGGTGCAACTAAGCCCAGGATGAGCTTTGCTCCCAGAAGATGCTGGTCCTGGAGATTTTCCAGCTGGGGGTTGGGAGGCAGCATTTTCCCTTGATCTTGAAGGACCCCCAGACCAGCAAGGTGGGGACAAGCCTGAGTCTTGGAAAGAAGACGGGGAACGTGTCCAACCCACCGGTTGGGGTCGTGGCTGGAGGAGCTGGCCGGCTTGACCCCCGGACAGACTGGAGTCGCTCCCCTTCCAGAAGAACCTCCCTAAATCGTTCTCCCTGTTCCTTCAGATCAGTCGCCCGCCAAACCCCGATTCGGCTCCTTGAAAAAAGAAGGATGTTCAGGCCGACCACCAGCCGCCGTGGCCAAGAGCGTGCTGCTCTCTCTCCTTTCTTTTCGCTGTTTGGACCCTGGAGACGAGAGCATGGCGAACGTGAAATCTCTCAGGATCTTCATTGTGACGGGGGACAACAATGGGATATCATGCTGCGGTAGCTTCCTCCAAAGCAGGGGCGCAGAAGCACTCCTGACCCCACCCCAAAAAGAGACCTTTGGAAAGGCTCTGCAGCCCTCATGCCAAATTGTCCTCAAATAGTAGCCTTTATTGTGGCCGCCTAAACATGAGAGTTATTTTTACTGCCTTTAATTTGATTTTGCTGAAGAATTCTTTCTCCTTCTTCCATATTCCCCTTATTATTTTCTCTTAAGCCCACCCATTGTCTTCTGGAATAGGGTCGCGGGTTGCTCAACAGCGGAGCCCCGTTCCTGCCTTGGAAATCGCTCGGCACACGCCCTGCTCTAAAAATACAGTTGCGGAAAACAAGGGAAAGCGGCAGAAAAGAGGTGATGCAACATTGAGTCTTTTCCCATCAAAAATAAACAAAACCTTCCTTTTCAAGTCGTTTCCTCTTATCAGCTCAATGAGGAACAGAAAGATCGGCTGGGAAGCGTCAACCACTAAGACCTGCGGCTCGTACTTTTAGCGGATCCTGTTAAATTTTACCCGGGCACGAGCCGCCTGATCTGGCGCTGCGTCCCTGTAAAGCTGGGGTGATGCGACCCAGCCGG